GAAAAATAACAACCTCAACACAATACGTGTCAGACCTCTTTGCAGGATTAATGACTGCCATTCGGAATATTTCCATCTTCTGTCTCAAAGGACAGTTATATAATTTCTGTAGTGTTACAACGGAATTATTCCTCTGAGAAATCCCAGACTGTGAGAATCTACGGAGGAACTGAGCTGGCAGATGGTCTTAATATAAGAAATATATTGATACAACAACCACTTACTTTCCTGACCGATGAAGCTGATAAAAGATTAGTAGAACAGAATATAGGAGGGGAAAACATTCAGGCTGCTTAGACACATGCTGTGGGAGCTGGAGTCAAAATAATATAACCTACCTCATTCCCTTTGATTAAGTTTTTCCTCTAGAAGCGTTATTTTATTCTCCTCTCATTGTTCAAGCCTTTCTTTCGCTAGGTCTGGTTATTTGCTATTCGTGTTGCTAGGAAGTACAGAGACCCACATGTTCATTCTTCACGTGAACAAGGCCGCTGTAAGACTGGTTTCCAGGAGTTTGCAGGACTGTGGTTTTCCATTCATCCTTCAGCTCTACCTCATCCAGACCTGTTCCACATGTTGTATTTATTTATTAATTTTCTCCCAGACCCCCCCCCCCCACCCCGTCCCTGGCACATGGTAGATCGCTGATAAATAAATGCTAAACAGGTGTCGTTCATAACTGTGGATGCTCCTCACGGTCTTTGTAAACTTGAATTACTGTCTCACTGGTATCTCTGCTTAGCTTCCCATTTGCCTGTTTGCTAAATAACTTACTTCCTCCCAGAAACTGCTTTTTGTTTACTCAGTTGGCTATGTCATTCAAAGCTGGCAACTTAGTTACCTTAATTAATTATTCTCTTATGGTGAAATAGTTACTTTCAGTAAGTATTCTAGGAATAAACTTCAGGAAAGTAGGGCTTTGAAGCTGGAAATACTTGGATTTCAGTTCTAGCTCCCTGGTTAATTAATTGTGTAGAAAAGTTACTCGATCTCTCTGTGGCTCAGCTTTCATATTTATTTTTTCAATTGTGTTTTATTTTTGCTGTTATTTATTTATTTTTGCTTGTTTTCGAGAGAACCTCACTATGTAGTTCAGGCTGACTTGAACTCACTATGTAGCCCACACTGGCCTCAAACTTCCAGTGATCCTCCTGCCTCAGCCTCCTAAGTGCTGTGATTACAGGTGTGTGCTACCACTTCCAGCTGAGTTTTTGTATTTGTGGCAGTATCTGGCTTTCAGAATATTTTAAGTTGGGCTGGGGATGTAGTTCAGTGGCACAAGCACCTGCCTGGCAAGCTCAAGGTCCTGAGTTTGATTCCTGGTACAAAAAAAAAAAAAGAAAATTAAGCATTGCCAAGATATTAAAAGGTCAATTTGGTGCCTTCAGAGTGGAACATCTACTCAGAATCCCCTATTATTGTTCTTAAATTTTACATTGTTCAGACTGCTCCAAATCTGTTTTTCTAAGGGCGAATATTAAAAGTTTTATACTAACCATTATTTATTTAAATTGAGAAGTTACTGCATGAAAATAAATCCTTACTGAACTCAAAACTGGGGTGAAAAATCAGTGCCACTATACTGACCAAAACAGCAGAAGTTAATAGTAAGTGATAAAATACATGGTTTAAATCGCCCCAATTCTATCAATTCTCTTGGGACAATTTGGTGATTTTTCAGCAAGTCCTGAAGGTCAAAAGAGAAAGAAGCCCTGGGTCTTCTGGAGAATGGGAAGCAGCATAGATAGATTTGAGGCTGCTTGGCTCTCCCTCTGCCCCTCTTCAGTCTCAGGAAGTCAGCAGTTAAAGATCCACAGGTTATGATGGTGCCAGGTAAGACACGAAAAGTGATTTTGATTGCTACTGCCACAAAGAAATGGCAAGAAGCTGTTTCCTTATGGGTCAGCTGACAGAATATTTGAATTTTTGGGTTCATCCATGTGTTTAGTCTTAAGAAAGATTACTTAATGCGATTACATGCAGATGTTGAAGTCCTTGCTGGCGATATGAAACCAGTCTTTACTGTCACACACTTTACGAGCTAGTTAGGAGAGGGGAGATTTATAGTCAGGCATATTTAATTAAAATGGTGTAGTTGTGTCCATGTCAAAAATACAGTTTCAACTCTTTAAATTTGGCATATCTGTTTTAGAGAGGACTTTAATTTGATAATAAAGCATTTGTTGTCTGTATGGCAGGGTCAGCAAATGATAGTGTTGCACCTGATTTGAAGTTTATAATATTCCTATGTTTTGAGTCTGTCCTCTTTTAGTTTATTTCTTGGTAGATGGACTAGGATTGTGATTTTAAAAATTCTTTTGATAGTGATATGTCATTTCTTCCTCAGGTTAGTGGAGAGAGCAGCACAAAAGTACACCACTGGAATTTTAAAACGCTTTTCCAAGTGGAAGCGAGTAAACTCTTTCAGATTGAACATCATCTGCAGGCAGAAGTACAACAGCAGTACAGCAGCAGGAGGCGCAATGGTGGTCTCCTTGTTGTGTCTGTCATAGTGATAAGCAGGTGTCCTCCCAGTACCTCCTTTAAGGTGAGGGGTTCACTCCTTTTGTCTCTATTGTAAAGGTTAAAAAAATGGGGATTTTGAGAAATTGTGTAAATTACTCCAAGAGTTTGCAGTTGATCAAGATGACCTATAGAACAAAATGTGGAGAGGACCAAATTTCCAGAGGAACTTAACCACCTGCTACTCCTTGCCTAACTCTGTTAGGTATATTTCTATTGCTATAAAAAGAAAACCAAGAAAATAAACTCATCATAGGAAAGGTTTATTCTGGCTTACAGTTTTAGAGAGTTCAGTCCACGGTTTCTTGGCCCTGTTGCTTTTGGGCTTGTGGTGAGGCAGCACCTCATGATGGGGTGTGTATGGTAGAGCAAGCTCCCCACATCATGGCCGGGGAAGTAGAGTCCACTTCAAGAACACTTCTTTGGTGACCTAAAATCTCTACCATCCTGCAACAGCAGCAAACTGAGAATGAAACCATTAAGACATAGACGTTTGGAGCACATTCCAGATCCCAAGTGTTACACACAATCTTCTTTGGATGAGACTGCTCATATCTGAGGACAACACTTTTCGTGAACTTTCACCAGTACTGTCACTCAGGAGGAGTAAACAATGAGCACTGCCTACAGCCAGCCGGACCACCCTTGCTCCCGCTGAGGCTGCCAATGTGTCAGCCTCTGCGCAATGCATAGATGTGCTAATGTGATTCTCAATAAACTCAAAAGAGCATGATCAACCCAGTTTCCAGATAAGAAGAATCAAAATTGAGAAGTGTAAGAGTCCAATGTGCAGAGTTCAATTATTGGCCCTTTGGCTGGGAACCTGTGTTTTTACCCACTCATCTGACCTGCGGCACTGGGCAAAGAGCAAAACCTATTATTCCCATCAGCTTCTCAGCAGGTCAGAGTGCTCTGCCAACCTTCCCCGCACTGCTACACGTATAGGACCCAGGTTCACAGGGAGTGGAGAAGCGCAGCTTCACCCTTATATTTGGTCGACCCGTTGCAGTGTCCCTATGGCCCTGTTACATGATCATTCTCTTTCTCAAATCTTTCCCTGACATTTCCAAGTATCCTTCTAAAATTAAGCACTTTACCTTACACTCACAGTTTTTCTCCTTTTCCCTGCATCCATTTCCTTGTTTTTACAAACATTAACATATGAATTACTGTTTTTAAAATTCACCTATTTGCTCCCTTTATATGTACTGCAGGTTAAATAATAATAGTTTTTTAGAATTATTTATCATTTAAAAAGAAGAAAAGACAGACCAACAATTGTTAAGCATACAGTAAAACTTCAGGCAATTGTTTTTTCCAGAAAGGATTTTTAAAACAATTTTGATGCAGTATTATTATATTAAGTTAAAGCAATAGAGATTTTGAACAAAGATAATAGGATGTTTATCCATAATAGCTACTTCTTTATTGAAATATTATTTTAAACTCTAGAATTCACAGAATACCTCCCTAAAACGTATGGTTCACACCTTTTAGTGAATAGCAGATGTTAACAATGAATTTTAATCTATTTCATGTTTGTTACAAATATATTTTATTCAGTCTGAAAAAGTGAAACTAATACATAGTGAGGTTTTAGACAAGAGCGTTCAAAAAAGGTTCTCTTTCTAGAATATGAAGAAAGTACGGAATGCAGCAGTTTTTCATTGTGACAACATTGCCACCTAGTGTTCTTCTAAGATTATAAAATAGCCTAAAAACTGAATTAAAATTTGACTCCAAATCCTAACACTCTGCAGAGGCTAAAATTAGATAATTTAAACCTTTGCAAAATGCAATAAGTTGCGTTTGTTTTAAAGTAAGAAATAAGTAATTATAATTCTTATGATCATTTCAGCATGGAAACATTACCTTCTCACTTAATGAACACAATTATTAACTATACAACTCTATCAATATCTTCATTATTTATTAGAAATATGTGACTTGTCAAGTTAATGTATTATAGTAAAATTTTACTTTTATTATCAGAACTTAAGGAGATGATATGTTTGTGAATTAGTAAAATGTTTCAATAGTTTTTAAAATATTGATTCCCAAATATAGTTCACATGATACCCTGTCACAGAAGTGTTCAGTAAATCACCAAGAATAGCAGGTAATCTTGTCAGTGCTTGTGCAGATATTAAGGTGACTAACAACTTTTTGTTTCATTCTGTGAGTTAAACTTCTACAAGCTATATTAGAATAGTATGTCAAAATATTGCACATTTGTAATTCATCGCGGCTTTTGTACAATTTTCAAAAATGCACATTAAAACAAAGCACATACTATCTGTATTTAAGAAAGCCATTAAATATTACACCCTTTAGTATTTCTAAAACAATTATACAATGAATAATTTTACAAAATATATTCAGCAATAAATGTACGCTTGTAAGGCAAACATTTAAATCTTTTTAATATATTTAGTACTGTTTAAAAGGAGTAACTTCATTATGAAAGATATCTGAAGCTTACATTTAAATGATTTAGCATCTTGATTCCCACTTTCAACTGCGTTCTAAAATAAGTCAGTTCTCCCTTTCTGGATATATGAGGATCCAGTTCTACACTTCCCATGAACAAGAGCAATTTCTTGTTCTCCTTTGATAGTTTCCTGCTTTGCTGGGCATGAGTTTCCCTGAGACCAGAAAAAGAGAGAAAGGCAGTAAATATTAGGCTCCTGTTCCTTTTCTATGCACGTAGGACAGGCTCAAGAAGTGTTGCTTTGGATTCCTGTTCGCTGCTTAGCTGAGTGTTTTCACCTGGTATTTCATTTATCTAAGAACTTGTTTCCCAAGTTGTCTAGTTAGCAGATGGATGTTATTTTCTCTTGCCCTTTACAAACTCAACTCCTGTGAGTCCTGTGACATGATTTGTTGTCTTATGCCTACTTGAAAGTCAAAGAACTGAGGCGCACAGACCATATTTATAAGGGTGTTTCACAGAAGGACCAGTTAATGAATTAACCCAATGTATTACCAAGCTCATTCCTACCTGCTCACCATCTTTACAGAAGTATGTCAAGTGTGGGAAGTGTTTGTTGGAAACCACTTTTGGGAAGCAGTTCTTTTCTTTCCTTATTTGTTTATTCATTAATTTATTCATTTTTTGAAGACAAGTTTAGCTCAAGATGTAGCCCAGAGCTCACTCGTAGTCCACGATGGCCTTGAACTTACAATCTTTCTACTTAAACCTCCCAAAAGCTGGGATTGCAATTTTATAACACCATAACTGGCTGACCTTTATTTTTGTGCAAGACTGAAAGAATTACTGACTTTTTGTCCTTTTTTTCTCCTTCTTCCTTTAAATACAAACGATACTCACTGTTTTAGCAGCTATTTCATATCTATTACAGAAAGACCAAAAACTTCAGAAATTCTGGTCATAGTGTAATTGCATCAGTGAAAAACTCCAGACTTCTGTAACGTGAAAGAAGAACAAAATAACACAATGTGAGTCATTACTCAGTAAGCTTTGCAGTACTTTCATCTGAGAACGATCCCACGCGGTCTAGAAGTAAAAACGCAGGTTACAGTAATTGAGCCTCTAGGCCCTGTGACATGTGTGAGTGCCGGGGACGAAAGCAAGGACCGGTCTGTGTTATTTAGAACTGCCATCACGGGGGACACAAAATCACCCAAATTAAGTAATCAATCAACAAACAGGTAACCATTTCATGGTAGAGCATGACTTTGTTGTTGGTAATAACGTATATAGGATACAACATTTGCACAAATAAATGTGCCCCCTTGGTAAGGGCAGCCTTTGCACAAATAGAACACACACTTGTAAGAAAAAATAAGTAGCTGACATGGCAAAGCATCTGCTCTACACCAAATAGGTGCACAAACACTACTTGCTTAATAGAACGCTTATAAAGATGGGCTTTGGTGGCTCTATAGAAACTCAATAGAGAAGGTACTCCAAGTAGAGATAATCAAAGAGGAAGACTGAAAGTTGACATGAATATTTTTAACAGCTATGAAGTGGTCAGTAAAGAACTAGGATCTAATAAAAGAATCAGCACCTTTTTTTAAGCCTATGCTCAGGTGGCTGTATAGGGAGGTGCTTTTATTTCTTTTACGCAAAGAACAAGCGAAAGAGAATGAAATAAAGAAAAAGACAAAAGTAATTCAATAAAGTAATCAAACTCACAAGGCAAAGCACAAAGATTTTTCAGAGTTTGGAAAGTTGTAACGCTAACTTGAAAGCACATATAAAATAATGAGCCTGAAGTCATAATGTGTATCCAACAGCCTGCTTGGAACGAAGCTCGCTAGCAAAGGGATAACCGGAAACACGTGGGGAAGGGATGGGCTGGTGGGGGAGGTGTACCTGGAAGGGCTTCAGTATCCCTTCTCGTAAATTGCTCAGGGAGCAGCGCCTGGGCTCTTCATATTTGTACATTTGTGTCTGAATCACTAAGTGGCTAATAGCGTATGTGTATACATAATATTCATTCAACAAGAATTTACAACGTGTTTACTTTGGGCCAGGAAGCTTACACGAGATGGGGTCATGAGGGGGGACACGCCACAATCCTACCACCCGTGCATTTGATTACAGACACACCGACTGCCACTGGATTGCAGATAATTGTGAAGGAAAACTAAGGTTTACGGCGTTTGAAGGCAAAGCACAGTCAGACATTTGATGCACACCATTAGCAGACAAAGCTCTTCTGAATGTTGAGAGAAGACAGAGGAATGCTTCCTGAAATTTCTATCAATAGTTTTACTTGATTTATTGTCTCCTCAAGAGAGTCCAAAAGAAACATCCTCTTCATCTGCATTTATGTTCCATTAATTATAATACTTATCTGCATACAATTTTATTTCCTGATTTGATTGTTACACGTTGTATGTATGTATTGAATTTTATCAAAGTGTATCACATCAAGGTCTACAAATATTACTGTTAGTGTAAAGAAACGGAAAGATTTCAGCACTTAAAAAATAACAAAAATGACATTTATGTAATCTCTAAATTTTTCACTTCTTCCTATTTTACTGCATGTATCCTACAACATCTTTTTAAATCCAATGTTAATCTGATTGGTATTTTATGTCTTTTACTTTTGCTTAAATAATTACCCATATCCTAAAGATGTGTGTGTGTGTATGTGTGTGCATACGTGCATATCATGATAGGCGTAGAATCTTCTATCCAAAGGGATTGAGAGTAGGGAATTAGACGCATAAAGCATAAAGAAGAGTTATAAACAAGATAAAAAGTGTGCTGAAGAAGGGAAAATTGGATTTAGGAATTCAGGGGAGAAAAAAATATGAAGAAGCAAAAGATAGGACAGATAATTGTATAAATTCTAAAACTACTTGGCTTCTTAGAACTGTTTTAAATTTCAGACAGATTTCAGTGACCTCAAAATTTTATGCATGTATTTAGTTGGCCTGATTTCATTTTGGTACCTAGATTGGGAAGAATAATCATTCTTCCATGGGTTTGGGGAGCAAAGAAACTCCTCTTACCACATGGGCCCAACGATCTTCCCACTAAGCTCCATATCTGCACAGAAACACAGTACCACAAACACCAGTCTCCTCTAGGTTCCCATAGAAACACTCTCTCGTTGAAACAGAGAGAGGCCGTTTTCAGTTGAGTTCCCAGTCCTTTGTGATGCCCGGATGTCCCTCACTTTATTACAGCTAAACATGCACAAGGAGGCAAACGTTAGTGTCACACAACATTTATGGCGGTGGCATTGAGTCGTGAGCTGGGCTGTTCTAGTTTTTCTTTTCTTTTTTTGTTAATCTTTCCTCACTTAGATACATCTTGAAGGGTGTTCTGTTTTGTTTCCGGTACTGGGGAGTGCACACAGGGTTTTCACACCAAGTTATTTTGAGATAGGGTCTCTGAGTAAGTCATTAAATTGCCCAGGTTGGTCTTGAATTTCTGACCCTCCTTCCTCAGCCTTCCAGGGTACTGGGATTGCAGGCATGTGCCACCAGTCCTGGCTATTTCTTTAAAGATTTCAAAGTTTAACAGATATATTGTTAGAGAAAAGAGACGATGAATAAGTTAGAAGCACAGAAAAGTATTAGATTATGAAACATTTTTATTGGGTTTATTTTTCTGCTTTCCTATTTAAATAAGTATTTTTACAATGTGACTATGGTACAAGGATAATTTTTATAATCACAATTTCATGGTCTGTCTTTTAAGTGATTATAAAACAGGGTCATTTGCAGCATTTGTGCTTTTAATTCTTTCAATAAAAAATTGTAAGTGTCTTTGTGCACCAGACCTTATTGAAACTATTGGGGATATGAAAGTATAGTAGTGGAGTTTGCATAAAGATGTGATTAATAATAACTAAAATATTTTATGTAACAGTAAATTCTCTGGAGAAAAATAAAACATCAAAGAAGGTAGACAATGGGCACGGAATTACAAACTTAAATAAAGGACCCACTAAGCAGGTGAATTTTAGTAGAGACCTAGATAAGATGAGTTTGAGCCTTTGGCTACCTGGGAGAACAGTGACTATGAAAGAGGTAATTTGATGCCAGAGTCACATGGGGCTTTGTACATTGTTAAAAGTATTTGACATAAATGTGAAACAGTATCTCAAAAAAAAACAAAAAACAAGAAACAAAAAACAAAACTAAATATAGGCCTCGCATGCAACCCAGCAGTTTCATTACTGGATGTCGAAAAAGAAGTAAAATCAGTGTGCAAAAATAGCACCTGCCCTGTATTATTTATTGAAGTAGTACTCATAATACCACCTCAATGTCCACCAATGGTGACAAAATAAGATCTATCTACCTATCTATCTATCATCTATCTATGCAATGGATGCCATGTGTCTACATCTATGAAACCATAAAGATGAAATCTTGATATTTGTGGTTTTTTTTTTGTTTTTATTCTGGTATGGGGAATTGAACTCACAACCTCTTGCTTGCCAGGCAGGCGCTGTACCACTGAGCTAAATCCCCAACCCCAAAATCTTGACATTTGTGACTTCACACATGGAACTGGAGATCATTCTGTTAACTGAAAAAGGCCAAGAACAGATAAGTTTACCCCATGATTACACTCATCTCTGGAATGAGCAAGAGTTGATACTACGAGCTGTTGAGAGTAGAATAGTGAGTCTGCATCCAGGGTTTGAGAAAAAGTTGATGCATAAGTACAATATTACACATAGGGAAAATAAGTTTTAGTGTTTTCTGGCCCAATATGGTGAATACAGTTAGTAATAATGGACAGTACATCTCAAAAATACCCGGAAGAGAATTTTGAATGTATTAAGGATGAAGAAATGCTAAAAGTTTAGGGTTATGGGTATACTAATGACTCTTATTTGATTATTATGTAATACATATAAGATTCAAAGCATCGCATTGCACCTCATAAGTACATACAAAGGTTGTGTTTAAATCAAGTAATTTAAAATTAAAAGTAAGTGAAAAGCTGGAGAGAAAACCTGCTCCTTAGTAGAAAAACAAAAAGAAGGAACATTTGGCTTGAGACAAAAGTTGTTGGAGGGTTTTGTGTGGAGGAGAAAACTGAAGAGGTTGGTTTGAGAACTGACTCAAGTAAGGACCTGGAGGAAGCAGCGAGAGCACAGGAGGCTCTTGCAGTATTTCTGGTGAGAGACGATGGCGTCACGGATCGACCACGTGAACAGAGGGGGCAGTAAGTGCGAGGGTTCCAGGCTCACCAAAAACGCAGAGCTGGTAAGGTGTACTGCTCGGGTGGACGGTGGAAGCTGCGACCAAAAATATGTGCTTCAAGCAATTGGAAGAATAGAGTTGCCGTGAACGGATTACCACCGAAGACTCAGCAGGTTAGATGGAGGGAGTTCTGGAGCCCCTCTTGGGCATAGTAAGTGTTAGACACCTGCCATCAACAGAACTGGAAATTTCAGGTTGGCAGCTGTACAGGAGCACAGGGAAAATGCAGACGAATTCTTATAAATTTGAGAATACATAGATAGTACTTATTTAAAAAATCACTGGACTGCAAGGAACAAGAAAGGCAGTGAGGGGGCGAGAGAAAAGTCCAGCACTGATCCTTGGCACACTGCAAAGGTCAGGGAGAGGAGAAAAACCTAGCAAAAGTGTGACTGTTTTCCAGGAAGCATGAAGTTTCCTTCCTATATACAGTCAGGCTGGAACAAACACAAGCATGTCGCTCCTTTGATAAAATAATTTCACTTTATAAAAATAAGTGAATGTTTACCCCAAAGTAATTTTTCACTTGGTAATGTTCTTTGTTCAGCTGAAAGGGTGAAAATAAAAATTGAGGTCACAGAGAACTTTTGCTTCAATTTGTTCAGAACGCTAGCTTTGAATTGTGGTTTCTAAAATCTTTAAAAACTTCAATTGATGGGATATAGGTTTTCAGATAATGAGGATTAACCTTTATGCATATTGAAAGTGTTTCTTGAAACATTTGGATTACAATAGGAGACACAAACCCAGCAAGGTTTGACTTCCTTTGAGCTGTTTTTCCAGAAGTATTTTAGCAATATAACGACAATGAATATAGAACCTTACTGATTAGGCAAATGGAAAGTGAAGAAACTATGCATTTTATGATGATTTCTCAAGAGCCGGTCTGTATAGCATTGCTTGTCCCCTAATCAAAAAAACATATAGAGAAAAAATAAGCTATTTTTATGTATGGACCTTGTTGCTTAGAGCAAGTAAAACATTGTTTTGTGTTCTGGCTGTCATTGGATAGTTGACAGATTCGGGAATGGGATCTAACAAGATGTCCATAGTTATCAGAGGCAAGTTCTTCCTCTTGTACAAAACACAAATGAGTCACCTTGTGGATACTTATCAAACTGTGTACTTGGTAAAACAAATTGGTTAGTGAACGGCATGAGCCTCCCATTTGTATAACTGGGCCAGATTTGAAATACGTATTTTAAAAATAAGGTCATTAATAAGACTTAGCACCAGTTTTTATTCTAAGAAAAGAGAAAAATACCTGTGTTAAAAACTATAAAACTATTTCTTCTAAATTCTGGGTAGCTTGTACTGATGTGAGGGAGTAACCTACTAAAGTATTAAGAGCAACTTTTTCCATCAAATGTCACTTTAAGTAGGACCGGAAAATGACAAAATGAGATTCCATTTGGAGAAAAAGCCAACTTGCACATTTTGTATGTAGATAGTCAAGAAGAAGAATAAAAGGCAAAAAGTGATATTGTGAAAGAACTTTGTAAAAGGAAGGTGGACAGTTTATGAGATGATACTGCGATCAGTTAGACATGTAACATTGAGTCTGAAAAAGCCAAGGTTATCTGAAGATATCAAGCCAACAGGCTGTGGTCTGGGAATATGGTAGGTCTGCCCGCTCGTGATGAGAAATTCCACTTTCAGAATTCCATTTGTCCACAGACATCTCATTTTGAAAGTAATGTAGACAAATTGGGAAGCAGTCATAGGAAATGTGATGCCATGCTTAAGAGACTGATGAATAGGCATGCTGGAATATTCAAGCAATCAAACCTGAGCATAAAAATCTGACTGAGCAATGCCCCCTATGAATGCAACCGCTATACATGAAGGACAGTGGAAAACAGATTGGTATTGAAAGTAGGACAAGTGGGAAATACTGGAAAATATATTCTTTTTCTTCTAAGTGGCAATGTCATTATGCATTTGTCTTACAAAAGCAATGGCACTACATGAGCAGACTGAGTTGATCGTGATTTTTCCTGACAAGGAAACCCACTCTACTTCCAACATGGCAAAGAGGAAAAACCACTTGTTAAATGAGATTTGTTAAACTTCAGGGAGATTGGATGGTGATGCCCAGCACAATGTCACAACCAAAAAAATAATAGTAATATAGCTTTAAGTATGCGCCTAGCAATGTGTTAAGCACTTTGCATGAATTAACTTATTTGATCTTCACTATACATTTATAGACCAACTCTCAATGTTGTCTCTGTTTTGTTGAGGAAGGAACCAATGTGCAGTGAGGTAGACAGTAGTAGACCTAAGATTCTAGCCCAAGTACTGCTTCCACAGCCAGAGTCCTGAATCTCTGTGCTGCACTGCTGCTCCATGAGCAGACATTCTCCTCATTCAGATGATTCCATTCCTTTCTCCTCAGTCCACACAAAGAGTTATGTCCTTACCCTGAAGTTTCCGAGGGACAGTTGCACTCCCTTTCCTTAGTGTTAGGTGTATCTGATGCGACTGGCAGACGTGACTCCGGCACATGGCTCAGAGAGTTGGAGTCTCTGCAGAAGGGCTACAAGTAGGCCACGGCAGCTGGACTTGAGTTGGTTTTCATTAAGAGAGATCTTGGTTCAGTCATTCATAAGTTTAAAAATTCCACAGCAAGTCAGGCTAGTGTGGTTAACACTTTAATGTTAGAAGTGATTTTGAATACTGAATCTTCCATATTTTCAGCAAGTTACTCAATTTCTCTTCCCCTCCCTTTTATTTTGACACCAGGAATTGAACTCACAATCTCACGCTTGCCAGGCAGATGCTGTGCTACTGAACTATATCCCCAGCCCTTTACTTCTTACTGCCCAAATTTTCTCAGCGATGTATAAGTGGCCCAGTGATTATAAAAGC